ATGTATTTGTACGATATTTTTTACGACATGACGCGTTGAATCAGCTGTGAATGTATACAAACAAACCGATGCGCATTATCTGGTGACAGTACGTATTCACGTCGCTTATCGTATATATATATGCTTGTAAGTGTGCAAACACGCGATCTGTTACGTGCGGAAGAGAAATAAATAGCAAAAGAAGTAAACAGGAGCTAAACGCGACGAATACAATCGATGTCTAGACAAGTCCATTTTGCGTACGTTGATTAAACATTTGTATCTCGATCGAAGAAGACCCGAGTAAACGTTGAAACGTTTCGCCGTTTAAAGGTTGAAACATCGTCAAGGAATTCCAAGTGTTATACCACGTCATATAAACACTTGCGCCTACTCGGCTCTGCTCGTCCTGAAATATCATAGACTTTTCTTAAGAACGAAGCAATTTCTCTCTCGCTTAGGTACAAGTATGTATAAATATATAAAGTAATCTCGCATCACGCTAATAGTAAGCGATACGTGTCAGAATCAGATTGCACGTTGAAAAAATCGGAGCGAGAGCCATTGATAACGGCGGAAGAAGAATCGTGGATCGTTAATCCGACGTGATGCTCTGGCGAGAGAAGAGGTGAGCCAGAAGGAAAGCGAGATGAAACGAGGCGTAGGCGAGATGAAGTGCAGAGGCGAGGTGAAATGTGGCAAGGGGGTGAGGCGGAGCGAGACACGACGAACGAGGCAGCTGACAGGCCCCATCAGCTGAGAACGTACACAAACCCGATGTTTTAACCGCGGGGTTTCTCTGGAATCCGTCATCGTGGGTTCAAGACGTGATGATTCTCACTTTCTCTGTCGCGAGGAGGGTGTCCCTTCCCTTGCCGACATCTCTGACGGAGATTCGAAAAACAATAATACGTAGTTGGAGACAAGTGGAGAGAGACGGACAAGTATGGAGTACGTAACTATGGTGCCAACTAGGCATAATACTCGATAAGCAGAACGAGCTTGACGATGACGACAACGACGACGACGACTTGGTCAGAGCGAACGCGTAACGAAGAAAATTCGTTTACTGATCGCGACATAAAGCGCGCTTTGACGTCGCTCCCGCGATAGCTCTGTGTCGTCGTAGCATCGTAGCGTCGTATTGCGTCGCGTCGCGGAGCGGAGCGTTCGTCACGTCGCGTCGTGTCGAGGATGTCACGAAATCGCGGTGGGTTTCTCCGAGTAAAGAAAAAAGTATATACCGGAGTAAAGTAGGAAACGTCGACGGGGTGAGCTTTTCACGTACCTCCATATGCATCCGTGACCGCTGCGGCGGAGCGCGACGACGACGCGGGTTCTCGATCTTCTTCCCTCTGCCTCGCGACTCGTAACAGTCGTAACACGGATCACGGATCACGGCTGTTTCGTTTGCGTGCTGTGCCACGAGCGATCACGGCGAGGACGACGGTCCGTTTTGATCATCACTAATGCGAAACGCGCACGTCCTGCGAACGCCGTTTACCGTTTACGCCAGTTTACGCCGTACCGCTGATCGACTCGGCGTCGTTCGATTTATTTCGGTTCGTCCGCTGTCCGCAGGCGAAATCGCGCATACGATGACCCGCGCGCATGCGCTCAAAGTCGCTTACCGTTTACGGACATCACCGCTAGACTGCGCGACGTGTCTCATTCGAAATGTCGCTTGATTGCGCTTCATGTCGCAAATTGGCGAATGCCATACGACATTGATGATTAGGCTCTGTTCCAGTGTCCCAACATTATAAGTTGTTTCTTTTTTTTTAAAACTGCTCCCTTTATTAAAAACTGTGATCAATTTCTTTTTGTACTTTATCGCGATTTTGTCACGTTTATATGCATATGTTTAAATCAATTATGTCATCAAAATATTTGTCATTTCCATTTCGTGATTTATATCGAAATGTTATGAGAAAATATTTATGTATGTATCATCTTTTTTTGATAAATGATCTTCGACTATTTTACTTATCCTTTTTTTTTTCAAAGAAATGTCTGAATCTTGATTATTCAGATTTAGAAAATTATGTGGGAGGAAAATTATGTTTTATTTATTACGTTTTATTTTTATATTCTTTTGTATTATGATCGTTATTTTAGAACGTAAGGTATATTTTATTTCGAACGTATCCCAGCATCAAAGCGAATTTTATTTTATTACTATGAGAAATTCTAAAATCTGATCTTATACCAATAATTTACGTTGATAAACTTGCTTCCTATTGCGATTTGCATAAAACGATTTTTTTAATTCTTACGTTACTTATTTGTAATACAAACGCAAGTAAAAAGAATTTTTTAACGCGAGACTGGCATTTAAATGACGTTATAGCATAGACAAATGACGTATAGGCTATAGGCATGATTATAATTTCACGCATAATTTCACGATAATAGTGTGATGATAATTCATGAATTTGACGTTCGCGAAATATCGACATGTAAATATTGAATTATTTAACATTAACTGTTCTTACGAAATTGCATACATAATTGATTCTTCATGCAATATGTAACGAGATGTCCGTACTCTTTTAAAAAGATTTACAAAGCAAATTCTGCACAATTGTTTCTTTGTTCTAATCACGATGCTTTCTTATCTAGGTCCGATAGCACAATGTAGATTTTTCAACGACATCCGTCGATTAAAAATAATATTCCATACACGCACACACACGCACCCCCCCCCACACACACACACACGCACGCACGCAGCAGACTTTTAGGAGATGTCCTAAAGACGTCCGTATATATCCTCAAATGTCCTAAGAACATCCCCAGAATGTATCTCGGATACATTTGTGTGCTGTATGAAATAATAATATAACTACAGTGGAAGTACTATCTTGACTTTTTAAAGAGAATTTATTTCAGATTTTGTAATACCGAAGCTTCCTACTATTTTGATTATGCATATTTTTTGTATTCATATTACCATTTTCTTACAATTTTGATGTGACGAAAAGCGCGCATTTACTGATATTTTTGACGAGAAATATGGTGTCGATTTTTCATAGAAAATTTAAATAATAAGATATTCTAATTTATTTTGATTTAAAAAAAAATTGAAGACGAAATAATAAATATAAGATGAAATAAAAAAATATGCGAAAGTTTATGTATTGTTTGTTTAGTTTGAAATGGATTTTATTAGAATTAAAATTTGTGGATACTATAGGAATGCTCATTTGTAAAATTGTAGTAAATAATAATTCATAATAAATGTTCCTTGACATTTTAACAATAATTAACACCAAATTTCACGCATTATATCTATTTTGCCAACTTTAGTTTTTTATATAACTTTTATATAACTTTAGTTATGTTTTTTATATAAAACGACAAAAAATATATATCAGTTTGTGTATTTAAAAAAATATTAGATTAATAAAAAAATTGTATAATTTGAATCTTTTTTCCATATATAGTTTTTACATTAACAAAAATAAAATACATATATGTACGAACTGTATTTTAATCGACTTGATATGACTCTAAAATTATGTGTATATGTATAATTAATCAAGCGTATATATGATTCATGTATTATGATTCATGCGATATGTACTTACTTTACATACCGATGTAATGTCCACAGTATATTTTCTCTTTTTCTCGAGCGTTATATTATTTAATAAATTTTAAACAAAAAAGGAAGACGGAACGATTTAAAAAAAAGTTTTAAACTTTCAACATGTAAGCTGAAAGAAAAAAAAAGAAATATTAACATCTACAATTTTGTTTGAGACAGAAAGAGGTAGAAAAGCTGACATCAATCACACATAAATTTGCACTTTAAATTTTATGTATACGGATATATTACGGATATCGGTACGTTTTACGTTATTTAAAAAAAAAAAGAAAGAGATACGTATTAAAACTATGTAGGAAACCTTTATTTGTATTTCTTCCGATTCTCTAGCTATATTATTAAGTAATATACTCTTGTTGACAAAAATTAAATTTGCATTTTACTAAAAGAACCCGCTAAGCGATCTCGTAACTGCACGCGACGCGCACTTTATTATGGAGAAAATATTTTGATCGAAAAAGACAATTAAGCACGTGGAAAGGCTTCTTGGGATCCTAAATGCGAAGTGCAAGTGTAAAAAAGATTAGTACATGTATAGAATGTACATGTATTAATCTTATAACTTTACTAATGTAAAACTAATATATGCATTTTAATTTTTTATATATAAAGTTAAGATCTTATATGGCGTCCATATGTCGCGTTAACTCCTCACGAAAAACATTTACATCCATTTATTGATATTTGGATCTTATAAAACCGGGATTCTTACGTATTTCTAAAATTTAACGAACAACTTGCTCGTATTATTTAACGTAAAAATATAAATTGCGCGAGGCTAAAATGCTATCTTGTATAGATCTAAGCTTTAAAAATGCTTCATAAATGCGCAATGTCTGCCACCCTCTCTCCCTTTGCCAAAACTGTTTACAGAATTTTCCCCTTTTTCTGTTACTCTTTTACTGTTCATACATTGATTATTTTCTTTCAATTACCATCGCACAAATACATTGATTGAGAAGGATAATAACAAAGCAGCGATACACGGCGAACTTATTCTTTTTTTATCTTGATTTATTCAATATGTGTTTTCTTATAAAGTGACGTCCTACTAAATAAAAGTAAATGAAAAAATCACCAAACATAATAGTTAATATGTCCATTAAAATTCTTCTTCTCGTTAAGGCAACTAATTTGTTTTAGTCTCATTTTACATGTCTAGAGTATATATTTATATATTTATATATTTATATATTTTTATATTTGTATATTTATAAAGTATATGTAAAACACTAATATATGGTTATTTTTATTTTCTTGTTATACAAGCCTTATATTAATTAGAATATAGTGTATATATATGTATATCATTTGTATATTCCTATTCTTGTAATAAAATTGATTATTATTTTTGAATCTAGAGATAATAAATATATATCTAACGTGTATTGTTAGTACAAGAGAAGTGTGTGCAGAGGGTGGCAGCAGGGTGCGCATTTGGGAGTGCTATTGTTTCAAGGACTCTCCAGTCCCTCATCTTTATACCGTCTCACATGGTGACATTCAACTGTATTGCTTTAGCGTCCACGGAACATGCTTGCTGTTGCTGCGTCTGTTGCTGCTGCTGCTGTTGTTGCTGCTGTTGTTGCTGCTGCTGCTGTTGTTGCTGCTGCACTTGTTGTTGCACCTGCTGTACCTGCTGCTGTATTGCCTGTAGTTGAATCGTTTTCGTATCGACAGAACACGTTTGTTGCTGTTGCTGTGGCTGCTGCTGCTGCTGCTGCTGCTGTACTTGTTGCACTTGCTGCTGCTGTTGCTGCTGTTGCTGAACTTGTTGCTGTTGCGCTTGCTGTTGCACTTGCTGTTGTTGTTGCTGCTGTTGTGCTTGTTGAGCTGCAGCTTGAGCAGCTTGTCTTTGTTGTTGCCTAAGTATACTTGGTGGCGGATCCATATGCTGACGTTGATGTAGTAACAAATGATTTTTTTGGAAGAAAGCTTTGCCGCATTTATCGCATATGTGTGATCTTATATGGCAACTGCCGTCTGTGTGACGTCGTTGATGTTGTGACAAGCCGTGTTTTTGTGCGAAACCACGGCCGCAATCAGGACAAATGTGTGGCTTAGGTTTTGGTCCTGTACCCACTGGGGGAGATGTTTGTGTCGCACCATGCATATGACTTACACCCGGCGTTCCTATCGGCCCGTTCATCTAAAAATACATTATTTATAATTTGTATATTTCACATTTTGAACACAGATTGTTAATAATTATTAATTGAGATACTTAGGTATCTTTAAAAATAGGTATCATTAAAAATAAAAAAATATAAATTTGCCAAATTTCATTATTTAAAGATATTTTTAAGTATTATATTGGTATACAGTGATGATTACTTGATGTGCTCCTGGAGTGTTCGGGGTAAGAAAATGTGCTGGAGTTTGCTGAAAGGCAGCTGCTAATCCACAAAGGTCCGTTACAAGTGTTCGATCGCCAGTATGTAACCTTTGGTGCAAATTTAGAGCTTCTCGATTCGGGAACTCCAGCCCACATTCTCTGAAATAATAATCACATATTAAGAATCATGTCAATTTGTTTTATTAGAAAAAAACTGAACGTACTTATAATATCACAGAATGAATATATATTTGAATTATATAATTTGTTTTCACCTGTTCTAATACACTAATAAGTGCTAGATATTTATTTCTTATGATTTGTCAAACATGTATGAAAATCTTGAAAGATGTTTAGTTATAAGCAATATTAATATATATTACATAAATCATGTTACATGTACTAAATTTTGTCTGATAGCTTAAATTCTTAACATGAAATCATAAATAAAGGAAAATTTGATTCAATTTGTCTTAATGTCATATTTTACATCCAATTATGTTCGATAATTCAATTTTATGACATATACTTTGAATTCGAGATATGTAATCAACAATAAATTTATCTCAATATACATTTTATATGTATATATACATTTCACACATAATTATTACTAAAAAAAATAGTATGAAATCGCTGAACATAGACTGACTCTAGAAAAGTTTATAAAAATTTCACACAGCATATCCTCAATAGCAACTAGAGTTGTATCACGATGTAAGATGAGAAGAATAATCTTAAGATAAAATTAAAAAATTACTGCAATTACATTATATATGATGTCTCACCTGCATGTGAGAGATTTTTCATCTGGATTTGCATTATTATTGTGAATCTTAGAATGAGCGACCAGGTCTGTTTTCCGAGGGAATGCTTCTCCACAAACAGTACAAGCGAAAGGTGTTTCGCCTGTATGTAAACGCATATGAGCTAAAAGTGTTCTCTTCTGCAGAAATTCCTTTCCACAGACAGTACACGAATGTGGAACTCTGCCATGTAACCGACCATGATTAACTAGCTCAAACTTCCTTTGGAAAGTTGCACCGCAATCGTGGCAAACAAATGGATGTAGGCTGCCATGGAAGCGTGAATGCATCGTAAGATGATCCTTTTGCGAAAACGACTCCCCGCACTCTTCGCAAACGTAAGGTCTTTCCCCCGAGTGGAATTTACTGTGCGTCACTAGATGACGTTTTAGAGGAAATGCTCTTCCGCATTCTTGACAGACAAACGGCCGCTCCCGCGTATGCACGCGGGTATGTGTTACAAGGTGATGTTTCAGAGTGAAAGATTTTTTACATTCGCGACATTGATACGGTCTCTCGGCGCTATGCAATAGTAGATGCGTATGAAGACAATGTTTGTGCGCAAAACTTTTGCCACAATGAATGCAAATGTGCGGCCGTTCTCCAGTGTGAACTCTGGCGTGTGTCGTAAGATGATGTTTGAGAAGAAAGGATTTGCCACATTCTGAACAAGAATACGGTCGTTCTTTCGGTACACGGACCTGACTTCCCATATCCTGTTGCTGTTTGGCTTTCGACTCAATTTGCGTAGTATTCACATGAGTCAAAACGTGCCCGAAATGGGCAGTATTGTCTGTCTGACTGGTCGCAACGTTATTCGCTGCATTGGCTTGATTAGACGCAGCGGCTGCTCTCTTCATTAATATCTCATTGCACTCTTCTGCCGTAAGCTGTAACGGTCCGAGCGGTGTCATGAAGTGCTTACTCATGGCATGCTTGTCGGCTGTAGTAAAAACTAAGGTATTTGAGAACAAGGAAGGTGGAGGTGTGGGATGCGCTGCATCGCAATTACATCCCCCTTTGTCACAGGTTAATGAAAATACATCGTGATGCTTTTTAGTACGGACGTGAGTACCATGGGTTGTTTGATTATGCGCTCCACCCGTATGGCCATGATGCGTAGTAGGGGTTTGCTGACAACTCTCGTTCATCGCAAACATTGGCCGACGATGAGTGGTAGTGGCAACCTTGGTCGGCTTAATATCGACTTGTATCTTTTGACTGGAACCTTGATCCTGATTGTTGTTGACAGCATAACTGATATTGGTAGCGAGTTCGCTCTGGGCATTCTCTCGGGTCTCTGTCCCTGGCCCACCAAAGGACCAAGCGTACCCGAATCCTGCTCCTGCATTTCCAGGAGTGGTACACATGGTCGTAAAGGTAGTGATAGGTGGGTGAGTCTGGCTGGACGCGGCACTCGTGCGTTGCTCCGTGTCTTCTGTCAATGCATTTTCCGCGCCAGCCCTTTCCACTATAACAAATTGATCGGTGGGAAATATTTTGAGAGGTTCCAAGTAAACGTACCCGTCACGCTCCAGTATCTCGGCCTTGGAGGTAAAACACGGGAATCATATCTATGCCAAGAACGGCTGTAGAAGAGGATGCTTGAATTGGATTCGGTAGCTCCAGCTACAGCTCCGGTTCCGGCTCCGGCTCGGCGGGCTACATACACAATGAGGCTGTAAAGTGATTAATCTCGCTACAGTTTGAGAGTGCAATATATTCCCGAGGTGCTTACTCCGTTCTCGGGGGACATTAATCGAGACCGGGCCTGTGCGAGAGACTAGTCAAGAAGCCGCAGTCAGCCGTACCTGCCGTACGTCGGCAATATCGGGACAAGGCGGCCGTAAACTCTTTTCAAAATCGTGCTTCCGCCGATCTACGAGTTGTTTTCGTAGCGTTGTCGCGCCACTGTACATCAATAGAAGGAAGCACGCTGCCACGGCTCTTCTATGTGTTGGAGACCATAAGAAGGTTTCCTCGTTTTCGGGCCCGCGGCCACGGCGTCCACGGGTCTTGAAAGACAACCTCCACCTTCCTCCCGCGGCGCTCCCACACTCTCACTCGTGCTTCACGCACTTTTTCCACCTTTCGCGCTCACGGGACTACGTTTTCACTTGGACACACGCACAGCCGACGGTCATTAATTTTACATAATTGCATATTTTATTGTCCATACAAACTAGCCTCACATATCGGCCATTTTATTTGTAAACTACCAAAAAACAATGTTGCCAATGTACGCGCGATTTTGGAGGGAGCGGAGTCGCCGATAGCGTCACCGAGCGCTTTCGTGATGGCAGCACTTTTCCTTGTTTGCCAATTATGCCGACGGCGCGATCATTTTTCCGCCATATTCGAACGCACTTAACTTCTTATAAGCCTTCCGCTTACATTTTATTTTATCGCTATCTCTAGCTATTTTTCTTCTTATTTTTCTCCCGATAATTTTTGTATCTTTCGTATAAATACGTATCAATAGAGTACCAATTATATTCCTCCTTATTTCCGGAATTATCCCTTTTCTATATAATGTAAACAACCCATATATGCACCTACACGATAGTACGCATGTCCAAAATCGGACATGCGAAACATCTTATATTATCATTAAAACATCTTAATAACATCTTTGTCTTATGGCCTAATTTTAGATATGCGTATCTAGAAATAGACATAATTCCCTCCCTCCCTCTCTCTCTCTCTCTCTCTCTCTCTTTCTCTCTCTCTCTCTCTCTCTCTCTCTCTCTCTCTCTCTCTCTCTCTTTCGATCTTTTTTCATTTTTTAAACAGGTGCGCTATGTGCACTATAAATAATATACATATATTTGCATCATGCAATTACATTTTTTAAAACAACTATAATATATGTAAGTTATATATTTTGTGTATATAAAAATGTTACGCGATTAATATAATTGAAATGAAAAGCGAATATGTAAGAAATGAATTAAGTTTGATTATCTTTGATTAAAAAAATTTTGATAAAAGAAAACAGACCACGCAGTTTGATTGAGAGATTTTTGTGGGGAAATGTTTATCGTACAAAAATTTATTTTTTACAACAACTTTTTCCTAGATTAATAAATTTTTATTGAATTTTAATACGTATGACTTTAAAACAAAATTAATAAATTTTTAATATTTAAAATAGGTATGATTTATGTCGAATTTTAAATAAATAATAAATCTCCTTATTTTTTATCTTTATCTTTATCTTATTTAACAGGAAGCATATTTTTTAATTTATACTTTGATCATAAGGACGCAAAATATTAAGTATAAGTTTACAATTAAATAAATTTGTTGAAAAAAATTTTAATATCCGTTAATTAATTTGAAGGAATAATGAGAAAGTTGCAATTGCAAAAACATTAATACAGTTCAGTGTAGTGTTATACGTCATGCCAATGAATAATTTTGGCGGTAGAATGCGAATTGGTTTACGATCAATAGGTGATCAATGTCGAAGATAGATAGTGAGCGTTAGCGATTACACCGATCGTTTTCGTCATTTACAGCCAGTATGCGACGAATTATGAGACGTAGCGGTCTCTAGGTGATACGAGGACAGAAACAGTTCCATCGGACGGCTGGTCATCGCCGGCGCTAGTAGCGCGAACTCAGCAACTGATAAGCAAACCCGCTCGTTAATGGTCCGGCATCATAGCTTGGCAAAAAGCCAATATATATGCCGTTAGAATTGAGAATCTTATATAGTTTACATTCATTCTCCCATATTCTAACTTCTACCTTTGTACATAGTTACTTAGTTAGTAGGCATATTAACATAGACATATATCTCGCAATTGGTAAATATATTTATATATATAACTTTTAAAAGTCATCAGATAACCACCATAAATGTACCATAAAAATGATGAATTATAATGTATTGTAGCTTAAAAAAATAAAAATCTTTTTTTTTTAAATATAGATATATATTTTTAATGTCTAAAAATTCAAACAACAATTAGATAACTATTTATCTTTATCAGAAATATTTTTTGCGCTGTATCATTTTATTGTTGTGATTCGTTAATTTTTAATTCTTAATTTATTCAATAGCGATATATGGCTACAATACGGCTACAATACGGCTTCGATTAATAATTATTCCAATTGTTTTCACAACGTTTCTGTAACAGTATTACGAGATAGAGACTTTAGCAGCTTTCACAATGCATTTGTGTCTGAATAGTAACTATTTCCGACAGAGCGAAAAATGCATAGCCGCTTAAAGCGTGTATATAGCAGCAAAGTGCGACGGCAGATGCGTTATTTATGTAGCGGTTCGCTAAGTACGTTTCGTTGTGTGATACCTTCGATTCTGACGATCGGGGGTTACGGATCGCCGACGAGGGGTGGTGTATCCTCTGTATTCTCTCTTTTTACAAGGAAGAGCCGGCGCAGAGAAGCGGGGTGGAGGACCCGAATCCTGAGGCAGTGGACCGTGAATGCGATACCAGCTTCACGTAGTGCGTCGGTGTAGGAAGGGGAGAGGTGCCGTCAAACAACCGTTCGTCGATCGTCCCTTCTCGGTACACTCATACTCATCCCTAGCTTCGTCCTCCTCGCGTCAGCAGCAGGGGGTGATTTGTACGTATCAATTATGTCTTCCCGCTACCAAGGGACCATCGATGACGTCGCTATCTCTCTTACATCGCGATCCAATGATCCAATGATTTTCATTTTGGAATTTTATCGAAGTCGTTCAGGGTATTAATTCAACAATAACAAATACTCTTTACATTTGCTTATTCAAATTTCATAAAATTAAGATAAAATATTCCAAGAAAAAAATATTCCAGATCAAAAAATTTATTGAAATTAAAGAAATTAAATTCCATCGGAAAACGGATACAATTAGTTTAATGCCATGTTTATGTCTAAAGTAAAGAACTTTAATAGCTTTAGTAAACTTAAGTAATATGAATATATTTTTGTTATATGAGAGAGATCATATTTCTAGAAACATATAATATCAACTCTTTCGTAACACATTAATCTTATATTTATTTGTTCGATGAAATATGATAATAGTTTCTCGAGTAATGGAAGAAACTGGCCGGCATCCTTTTTCTAGCTTAATTAAAAGATGATTACCTAATGAGGGTCATCGATGTTTTTCAGGTTCCAATCGTGAGTCAGGTCTACACACAGGGTGTCCTAATATTATCGTTATGCTTTCTTTAGCTCTATGAATTTTATATAAAGAATTTATATTTTAATTACAACATTAATTCTTTCATTAACGCAATAGTTTTGCAATAGTTTAGAAATGTTATATTTAATAAAATATGTATGTACTATATTGTGTATACTATATTTGTAATATATATAATATTTGTTTATAAGTATTTTATGATAATCGTCGAATTTCGTGTTGTAAAAGATGCCTGTGTGTCAGTTGTCATTTGAATATGTTCCAATATGCACATTTAGTGCGAAAGAAGCTGCAAAAAGAGAAGAATTAATCATATATCTTACTAAATATATTCTTTGCCGTATCAATACACATTAAAGATCTGCATGAAACTTCGCTTTATAGGCACGATTGAAATCGCATTAGGATTATATTCCCCAAGAGTACTCTAGCGGCATATTATACATACCGGCACACTGGTACTGTTCGTTTGAAAATCTACTTATCTATCAGGGACTTGCCATTGGAGATGCTTTTTCTATTCTCTCGAGAGAATGCGACATTGGCTCCTTTGATCTGGTGAACGAGCTAACTTTCAAGCTTTTGGAAGTAGCATGAAGCATACAGATGGTTATGATAATAATAATAATTTGATCTTCAGTCTCCAGTGGTCCTGGCTTCTTCGCTTGCGTTTGCATACTAACACAAACACACACACACACACACACACACACACACACACACACACACACTCAGAGTCTACACTAACTCACGCGTATTGCAACGTACACCGTACACGACTACGTGAAGCTGACGACTCTCAGGGTCGATTGTGGACAATACGAGTGGATGGAGTAGCTTCGAAATCGATCGAGAATTAATCCGGCGCTATCGCGTCTTGCAACTGTTGTCCCATTGTCTCATCGCAAACTAAAATGAAAGGACGGAAGGGAGAGAGATAAATTACTGGAGCAAGATGGTCGAATGTTCTTCCTTCTTTTCCTTCCTCAAGATTTATTTGAGAATTTTGGCGTTTCTTCGAAATTTTTACAACTACTCTCCCTCTTGTACTCTGCAGTCTTGATAGATTCTGTAAAATTTCAAGTTCTTATTATAATGTTTCATTTAGTGTTCGCCAAATTTTTCTTATTTATTGTACTCGTCAGCAAAAACAGCTTAAAATCAAAGTAAAGTTTTATGTTTCTATCTCTAAAGAAGTAATAATCAAAGAAAAGATGTCCCTCACTTTATAGCAATTATATCGTGGCTTTTGTAGAATTAACCGCGTCTATCGCTTACAGCACATCATTTGACGCAAACCAGGAACCACGTCCCTTCCTCTTCTTTAATGCCTCGACCACTTGTGGTTTCAACTACCTTCGACGATCCTTCCTAGCAGCGAGTGCCGAGTGTG